CGATCCTCTCTCGACTTGCTCTCTCTTTCTATTCCCGGTTCTACTTTCTACGTCAACAGTGAACAGTCCAGTACTATATGTCGATGAGGGTGGGATCATACGCAGTAAAGTGACGCGTCGTAGGAAATTTCAGTAAATCGCGAGTAAGTTTTGAAAAATATGGTGTAAATTCACGTTTTAATTATTTATTCCGTTAAAAGTGAACATGTGATCCAGTTTTGATGTGGTGAAGAAGGGGTGAGTTGAAATAATCATAGATTTATGGCAGGGGGACATGGGAAGGGTTCTTTTGTGGGCCTGTTGCGTAGAGTTATCTAATTTAAATAGAGTTGTCTAATTTAAATTGATGTTGCTTGCAGAAACTTCGTAATGGTGTTCGAGCTTGCAATGTTTTGGGATGCCCTTCCGGGGCTAATATGACGATTCAAGTTTCCGAAAAATTCTGACCAGAGAAGGACGGCATGGTCATCAAAAATTGGCGATGATATATTAAAAAAATACTACATCAGAAAAGCACACAGGTATGACAGAAATATTTATTATAACCTCGCTCGATTCATTGGCTCTCTTTATTCGATGCTTTGAGCTGTACGATTTTTCGTGTTATTCGTATAGTTAGCTCGACACGAGCTCGAGCAGGTGTTGCTGTTGAAGCAAACGTAATAGACCAATCGTGAGCGAGGACGTCACAGCGTATTGCCTGGTGCTGCCACGCTTTGCTTGGCGTCGCTATATAGTATAGTATTTCTTTGTTTCCTGACTATTCCAGACATTTCCGCAGCCTTCGTGAGGAATTGAATTTCGGTTTTGTGAGGAAGTATTAAGTTTATTGAAATATAGTGCGCTTATAATTTATATTTTTTAAATCTAGTTTACAGCTAAATGATGCAAATACCTGCAAAGACAGTTCGTTTATCAATAGGATTGTTTCATTTAAATTTACGTTGTTTACAGAAGCTTCCTAATGGTTCGAGCATGTTGTGTTCTGGGATGCCCTTCCGGGGCTAATATGACGATTCAAGTTTCCGAAAAATTCTGACCAGAGAAGGACGGCATGGTCACCAAAAATTGGCGATGATATATTAAAAAATACTGCATCAGAAAAGCACACAGGTATGACAGAAATATTTATTATAACCTCACTCGATTCATTGGCTCTCTTTATTCGATGCTTTGAGCTGTACGATTTTTCGTGTTATCCGTATAGTTAGCTCGACACGAGCCCGAGCAGGTGTTGCTGTTGAAGCAAACGTAATAGACCAATCGTGAGCGAGGACGTCACAGCGTATTGCCTGGTGCTGCCACGCTTTGCTTGGCGTCGCTATATAGTATAGTATTTCTTTGTTTCCTGACTATTCCAGACATTTCCGCAGCCTTCGTGAGGAATTGAATTTCGGTTTTGTGAGGAAGTATTAAGTTTATTGAAATATAGTGCGCTTATAATTTATATTTTTGATATCTAGTTTAAAGCTAAGTGATGCAAATACCTGCAAAGACAGTTCGTTTATCAATAAGATTGTTTTATTTAAATTTATGTTGTTTACAGAAGCTTCCTAATGGGTCGAGCATGTAAATCTAGTTTACAGCTAAATGATGCAAATACCTGCAAAGACAGTTCGTTTATCAATAAGATTGTTTTATTTAAATTTATGTTGTTTACAGAAGCTTCCTAATGGGTCGAGCATGTTGTGTTCTGGGATGCCCTTCCGGGGCTAATATGACGATTCAAGTTTCCGAAAAATTCTGACCAGAGAAGGACGGCATGGTCACCAAAAATTGGCGATGATATATTAAAAAATACTGCATCAGAAAAGCACACAGGTATAACAGAAATATTCTTTATAATCTCACTCGATTCATTTGCTCTCTTTATTCAATGCTCTGAGCTACACGAACCATTCATTTGTCACCCATTTTGTTTATGAAACTTGGCGTGATTCCATGAGTTCTTTTTTCCTTAATGTTCGCACAATTATTTTCATTGCAATTAGAAGACAATCTCCGTCTGCAGAACTTTGCTTTCAAGAAGTTTTGCACAAAACATGCATTCTCTAAATATTATTTTATTTTAAAATGACTTATATTCTGTTGTGTTACAATACGGTATGAGTAATATCAAATATCA